GAGCAGCACGGGATGTGGCTGCTGTTACTTCTGGAACACTGCGATGGGGCTGTCACAGAAAGAGTCATATTCACTTACGCAATGACCTGGCTAAGCAAAACTCCGGTTATTCCTTTGCCATCGAGAGCTGGAGATTATGGAACAGCCAGCCTCCGAGGACCAGGAGAAAGAGTATAAAGACAAAACGTTTCAGGATGCAGTGTAGTCTGGCACACTTTTCTAGTGTCAGTTCTTTTATATAGACACCAATTTCTCTGTTGCTACAGAAACAGCCTTAACAACATCAAACCTTCCAGGAGAGCAGCGTCTCCAACCCCGGTGGGTAGCAAGTGTCTGAAGAAGCTCAACCATTACTGTACCAGGGAGCAGGTGAAAGGTGCCCTTCTCCTGCCTTAAAGACCGCGTAGAGAAGACGGCTCAGTCGTATTTCTTCTATTTAATCTACCAGTCACTGAACCCAACGGTATCCAGGTCTGGAGCAAAATAAGGAAACGTAGCACTGGAACGATTGCGTACTGACTCCAAAGAGTGGCTGTAGGTGGAGGGTTTTAAACAAAGACTCTAAATCAAGTCTTTACTGATCAGTTCCAGCCTACAGAAAGTCCCAGACAATCTCAGAAATCTCTCAGTAGTTGTGTATGTCTACTTCACAAGAGATCAAAAGAGATACTTATCGTGGGTGTAATGGCGAATTTCCATTGATGGGACTCTTATCCCAGTTGTTCTCAGAGCTCGGGCTGAGAAGTGGGAAAATAAATCCCTTTCCCATTCCCATTGTCTTCTCCTCCCCTGTTCAGTGCAAGAAAAGACAGTCAGTCCACTGCTGCCCTGCCTGACCTCAATCCTTCCCAACCTACCCATCCTCACACTCTCATTGCTAAAAATAGAAAGATACTGTAAGGACCCTTTTCCAGTTTGCAGTCTTCTGGGGGCTCTGGGCTACCTACAGCATACAGAGCTTGCCGCTGTCTTCTGGGAGCCCCAGGTGATTCCCACCAGGCCTGGGCTAGCTCCTGCTCTTGCGAACTGCTGCTGACATCTAGCTGCTCCACCTGATTCCCTGCACTCCTATCGAAGGCCTTCCCATCCTTCCCACCAGGTCTGGCAGGCACAAAGCGTGTGCTTTCCCTAAGGATCTGTCCCAAATTCCTGAGAGGTGAAAGAGACCTAATGACATGGCCAGGAGGACTCTAATGATGCTGACTTTATGAATATGCCTCTGGAGAGCCCCCTGGGGTGCAGAGACTCAGCTCTTAAGACACTGTGATGTTGTTTGTGGACCTGCAAGTTGGGGAGCGTCTGGAAAGCAGCTCATGAGAAGGTAGCTTATGATAACCAGTTCCCCAGCAGAAAACACCCTGGAAACAACCCATATATTAAGGAGCTGCAAATTACGGAGCTGCGAACCTTGAGCTGGAAATTACATTTCCATGAGATTTCCATATTTCTTTGTGTTAATGAGACAGACCCAGGAAACTTATGAGTTCAAATAACTGAATGACAATAGCAAGGAAAACTCAATTTATTTTTTAAGGTCTTCAGAACAATTACCTAATTTTATCTTAGCTTAACCAGTGCCCCCATTTTCTGAAGACAAAAAGGAAAAAACGGCAAGGAAGAGAGCAAGCAGGCAAAGGCGCCTGCTGGAGACCCGGAGCAGAAGGAGGTGGGTCTGAGGGATAAAGCTACAGGCCCACAGGGGACCAGTGTGTCTCCAGAGGGTAGAGGCCATCCGCTGCTCTCCGCAATAGCTACCACAGCAGGCATGTAGACATCTTCCACTCCCACAAAGGAGTAGGTCATTCCATGTTTCTGCCTGCATTACTCTGATGTGCTAAATGATAACTGTGGCGAGAGGAAAGATGCTTGCTGCAGACAGCTGTTGGGAAACCCTGAAGAATCACACGTAAGACGGGCAAAGCTTCGAGCGTTGCAATAGTACACCAGTTTCGGTTCATTCTTACCGCCACACCCTGACTCCAATTATGTTCTCCAGTCCCAGTAATGAAATCCAGGTATTCCTTCCTATACACAACAACTTTACTAGAGTTTTACCTATTCTGGGCTTTGCTCCTGTGCACGTAGGGGCTGAGGGGAGCACAGCTTGGAAGGGAGGGCAGGCTGACATCCAGGCACTGCAGTTGACACAGGAGCCCTAGGTTCAACTGCCGACTCTGCCGGAGGCGAGCTCCTTGTCTTTGGGTAAATAACTTTGAGCAAGTCTCTCCAAACCTCTGTCTCCTGCTGGAGATATCACTGGAATGCTGCTGGATTTCATTGTAGTGGATAAGTAACATCCAAGGATGCAGAGATAAGGGGAGGCATCTTTTCAACAGAAATAAGGAGAGGAGGAGCAATAGAATGAGGGGGAAATCCACGAACACTGGGATAATTTAGTCCTTCAGTAAATGGGATTATTTATTTGCCACAATAACAGCTATTCCAAGCCACAGTCCTGACCCAGAGTGAGGATTTGAGCAATAGTCTGAGCTCCCGTGTTCCCTGGTGAAGCAGGCTTGGAGAATTGGCTGGCTTCAGAAAGCTGTGGAATGCCCGGCGCCTGCTCAACAGCTGGCAGAAGCATGTTCTCCCCAGAGAGAAGGCCACTGCTCTCGAGTCTTAGCAAAGCGTCTCAGGAAAATGAGCTTAGCCTGAATTCTGATGTCAGAAGATTGAAAGGGTTCTTACTTTTTAATTTCTCTGCCTAGTTAAGATTTGGGGACGTTTAGTGGTAGAGAAGAACTTCCAGTTTGCACTTAATCCATCTTCTCCAAGCCAGTGTAGAAGTGAATTGGGCAACCATTGTTCTGCCAGCTGTTTCAGCAATTCCATCTTTATATTTCCTAGGACAGTATTCCCAAGCCTCTTATTAAAATGCAGCACATACTGACAGAGAAATTGCCCATGGGATGTTTCCATTCCCCTTTTCTGTTTCAAAACACCCACCCTCCCTAGCAACAAGCACTATCCATAATGATGAAAACTGCAGGAATATCTTTCACAGAACCAAGGACAATATTTAAAGTATTTTTCCCTTACTTATGCTCTCCTCAGAGAAACAAATCCTTTGGGAATTACTGGAGAGCCACAATCACCTAGGAAGAACCTTTCATCCATGTCCATTAAGAGATCACTCCATGGCCTCCCTTGTCTCGTAGCAGTGTTCTGGAGTTGTCCTTTTGCCAACGGAGAGATTGAAAGGTTAATCTCTGTGTCTCTGATCTTTCCACAGAGTTCTTACATCATTCCTCATACATCATTCGAGAGTCAAACTTCATATTTATTCTTTCTTTTTCATCTTACATATTCCAACATCAGCACCTCGCATGAAAACTGCTTATTCAACTCAAAATAAAATGAAAATAAATTAATGAGAGATAAAGAGCTCTTTGATGCAATAACCTTTAATGATTTCTTCCTGGTATATAATTTAGGACAGTGTTTTTCCTGGCTTAATGTTGTAAAGTTTGCATCATAAACAAAAAGCTGATGATTCATAAAACATTATTGCTAATGTATTTTTGAAATTAGCAAGAGACATGTAAAGTATCTTCCTGGTCTACCAGGATTCTTGAAAGGAAACTTCCCTTTGAGAAATTATTCTTGGCACCGACGGCTAGAGTAGCCAGCCTTATGGGAAGAAGAATCAGTGGTGACACCCACTGTGGAAGGTATAAATAGGGTTTCGCTGCAGCAGACAGCTCGCAGTCTGATTTAATATCAAGCTGTGCATCTTGCTTTGGGCTTCTGCTTGCATTTCCAACTGCTGTCACCATGAGCTGCAACATTAAGGAGACTATTACTATGTCTAGCAAAGGCAGGAGCAGTGGTGGCAGCTGTATCATTGGTGGTGGTGGTGGAGCACGGATTTCTTCTTATGGGATAGGCAGTGGCAGAGGTTTTTCTGGAAGGAGTTACTGCGGTGGAGTGAATTATGCAGGGGGACTGAGTGTTGGTAGCTTGGCTGGTGGGAGCTATGGAGGTGGCAACTGCTATGGCAATGGCCTGGGTTTTGGCCTTGGAGGCGGTGTGGTTGTTGGTGGTCTTGGTGGCGACTGTTTGCTTTCATCCTGCGATGAGAAGGTCACCATGCAAAATCTCAATGACCGCCTGGCTTCCTACCTGGACAAGGTGAAGTGCTTGGAGAAGGAGAATGCTGAACTGGAATGCAGGATCAGAGAGTGGTATGCTACACAGGGACTCTCCTGCGAGCCCCGGGACTACAGCTGCTATTACAAAGAAATCGAAGATCTTCAGAATCAGGTAACCCCCTTTTCAGCTGTTCCTCCTCTAGAGTTTATTTCTGGTTTTGTGTTTAGAACTTACTGCTATTGTTAGGGGCAACGTTGGTGCTGTTAAACCTCTTTGCAAACATACATTTTGGCAAGTTCTCCTCTGATCTTGTGGAGTGTGGGTGTGTGTTCAAGAGGCATGCTGCAAGGTGGGATAATACTCTTGAAAAGGAAAAGGATGCTTTGTTACATCGTGTTTTCACTACACAATTGTAAGTAGGGCATTACCAAGTGTGCTCTGAGGAAATGTCGTGGTGTCAGCCCAGTAGGAAGAGCAAAGCAAAGAGAACTATAGAACAAGAGCAAATCATACATAGGAAATGCTGTATAAAGCATTATAAATTCTAGGTGGGAAAAGCTGAGGATTTAAAACTGATTGCTGCGGTGGCACAAAGTGCCTGATACTAATATCTCCACAATGAAAGCTAGGGCTGATCTTAAGGCTTAAAGACACCTTCCAACTGTCTTCCCTCAAGATCCTTAAGCTTGAAGCCAAGAACATGCCAGCCTGGATGTCAGCTGAGCCTTAATGTCTCAAGGGAGGTTCTTGAGGTTCAATTCTTCATGAAGCACCTTCAGAACTTGCCTTCAGACCTTGAAACTGGGAAGTCCTGTCTCATGACTCTCGACTCCCAACCTCTACATAGTCAACCTCTTTACTGGGTGTGAGTTAAGGAGGCAAAGCAACCTCCGGCAACTGCTCTGCTCTGGGAACAAGGGTACTTCAGAAGGCAACAGAAAAAGGAAATTGTGAAGAGTTACTACCCAACTGCAGAGTATAGCAGCAGAGAGAGGTGAGACGTCTCTCATGGTCTGCTCTCTTCCAGATTGTCTGCGCAACCATTGACAACAACAAGATCATCCTGGACATCGATAACAGCAGGATGGCTGCCGATGACTTCCGTGTGAAGTGAGTGCCCCCCTGTGCAGAGGAACCCGCCTGCCTCCTCCCTGCTGCTTTACATCGTCCTTGCAGAGTCTCAGGGCACTAATTACAGAGCCTTCAGACAAGCTTCCCCACAACACCACATTAGGACGGGATGGGGTGATGAAACGCGTTTTGCTCTCGGTCACCAGCCCTCCCTTAATTGGTATTTTCGGGTAGAACATTTGGCAGTGGTGTTGGTGTGGGCCGGGGATCGACTGGAGGGAGTGGTCCTTCGTGGTATAGTTGGTGCATTTCCATCACAGACCAGTGCAGATTGGGATCAACAAACCAGAAATGCAGCTGAGTAAGGGATGTCAAACACACAGTGATCAGGAGCAGGACAAGAACAGATGGGGGAGAAAAGCTTTCGCACAACAGGGATCAGCTGCAGTGCAGAAACCTAGTGCACAGGGCACTCAGCATGGACAACACACAGTCGAGAGCAGGCAGGGGGAAAGGAGGTGGTTGCATGAACGGAGCCCATGTGAGAAGTTACTGTTCTGAATTTCTGCGCTCTTGCACAAACCAGGTACGAGACGGAGCTGGCCCTGCGCCAGAGCGTGGAGGCTGACATCAACGGGCTGCGCCAGGTCCTGGACCAGCTGACGCTGTGCAGGTGTGACCTGGAGGCACAGCTGGAGTCGCTGCGGGAGGCTGGGGGAGGAGCTCTCCTGCCTGAAGAAGAACCACGAGGAGGTAGGGTCCTGCCCTTCCCTGGGAGCCAAACTGAGCCTGCACCAGTGTGCTCTAATGTTGAAAGCACAGATCAACCCCTCTCACACCACAGCTCCCTCGTCCCACACTCCCGGGTTCAGACCTGTCTGGGTCCTGGGGGTGCGGGAGCTTGGGCAGGGGTGGCTGCTCCTCTCAGGGCTGTGCTGGTGTTGGGAGCACAAGTTACTGCTGACTCCAGCGGGTGAGAAGAGAAATTACCCAGCAGATTTATGGGGGAAAGCACTTGTACCATCTTCCAGAGCTTTATGGGAGGCATGCACTGCAGGGAGAGCTGTTCTTAGCCCTCTGCCCTTCTGCCGTGTCTCTCAAAAGCCAGGATGTGTCTGATCTGGGCTGTATTTCCAGGAAATGAACTGTCTGAGAAAACAATCGACTGGAGATGTGAGCGTGGAGGTCAATGCCTGCCCTGGACCAGACCTCAGGCAAATCTTGGAGGATTTGAGATGCCAGTATGAAACACTGATAGCGCGCAACCGGAAGGAAGTCGAGGATTGGTATGAATGCAAGGTAAGCTGCTGCGGCACAAGCTGACCGGCAGTGCAGGGCACAGGAGAACCCCAGAAAACAGACGCGGAGACAATAAGCAGCTCTTCCTTTGTGATGAAGCTGAGATCAGCACTCATTACACCCCGTGTTCCACAGAGACACAGGCCTGTCCGACCAGTTCGTTATGTCCCATCTGGGACAGCAGCATTTGCCGCAAGGCCCTGTGGTGTGTTCTTGGATCTGAGAAATTCCACATTTGGATTAAAGACACTTAATAGCCACGAGGTTAATGGGATTTGTAAAAAGACCAGGCAGTGGCAGCCGGCGGCTAATGCCCAGTGCACAGAGAACTCGCCCTGTTCACCTTCATTTTGCTAGCTACCCTCTGCTTCTGTGACAGCCAGCCCAAAGTACACAGATATTCTCTGAAGCTCTTTATTCTGGTGGGTGATTTCAGATTGAGGAGGTGAATCGGGAGGTTATTACAAGCGGTCAGGAGGTAGAGACGTGCAACAATCAAGTCACCGAACTGAGACGCCAATTGCAAGCCCTGGAAATCGATCTCCAAGCTCAGCTCAGCCAGGTAAGTGATGAGCTTGCTGACCCCCCTGACGCGGTTACTGCTGGGTTTCCTGGCACGCACAGCCAGCCCTACCGACCAGCACGACGGTGGTGAAAAGCTCTTTCATTTTTGTATTGGAAATAACCTCCAGGTGACGCTTACAGGAATGTTGTTTCTTTGTTCGGTTGTCTTGTTTATCAGAGAAACAACTTGGAATCCTCTCTGGCTGAGACCGAGTGCCAGTACAACACCCTCCTCGGTGAGCTACAGAACCAGATCACGTGCGTGGAGCAGCAATTGGCTGAAATAAGAACGGAAATAGAGTGCCAGAACCAAGAATACAAGACCTTATTGGATGTCAAGTGCCGCCTGGAGCAGGAGATTCAGACCTATCGGTGCTTGTTGGAAGGAGGACAGCAGGACCTTATGTATGTAGATCTCTAAAGGGATAAAGAAATAAATGAAAATATCAAGGACCTGTACTATGGACTGGGAATCTGAGATAATCTTTAGTCCATCTTAATGCTTTCACTCAGGTGAAAAAGTTGTCTCATTGACTGTGATGAACATTCGAGTCAACTCAGTGTCACTCCTTGGGATTTGCAAAGCAGAGAAACCAGATCTGTTAACTGCTAGTTACAAACTACACGCTTCACACCAGCACTCTTTTCTATAGTGAGGTGGCGAGAGAAGAATTAATTGCAAAGCTGCATTGCATTTTCATGCCAAACGAGGGCACAAATGCAAAGCAGCTCTGAAAATGAAAAAAGAGTGCAATGTAAAGTACCCTAACCCCTCTAAGGGACATAGTTGGAGACTTTGTGTCACGTAGTCAGTCAGCAGTGTCATGTAATGTTCTAAAATTCCCTATTTCTCTCATCAAATTTATCCCACTAGTCACGGAGGAGGAGGAATCGGAGTAGGAACCGGTGTAGGAGGAGGAGTCATTAGGACAAGCCACACCTATACAACTTCATCTTCCCACTGCCAGCCCCAAGTCCCACCCTGCAAGACCGGCGATATACAAGGTAAGAGCTGTGATTCCACAAAAGGAAAACGGGTTTTGTCAGTCTGTTCCTGTGCCATATGGCCGGCAGACAACACACGCTCCCAGGACACGTTACTGGTGTCTTCCCAGAGTTACTACACTGCAGCTACGATCTGTTAGAATGGAGCCAACTGCGGTGCCAAGTAGGCTGTGTCCCTAAGAGACAGGTTTAAAGAGAGCTCTGACAAGCTGGAGTAGCAGTTCGCAAACAAGAGACCAGGGGAGCAGTAGGACTTAAAGGTGAAAGCTGGGGAAATGAGGCATAAAGAAAAGATCTGGAAGGAGAAGCAAAGAAGACACCAGCCGAACAGCTTAGCAAGACAGTCTGGAAGGAGTGAAGAGCAAATCTGTAACTTCACCAAGTGCAAATTCCCATTAAAACACAATTATTTAGGGAATTTCTGGGGTTGCCGGGGTTGTCTGCCAACTGCTCTTGTTCGGCAGAGTGTATTTCTGAAACAAGGGCACTACACAGACCAAAATTCTGCTATTTGAAGGATTTCCTCTCCATTCCAATCAGTTAATGTTGCTGTACTTTTTCTGCAGTGACCTGCAGGAGAATCTGTGATTGAGGAATAACGGACTAGAAGATGAGATACAGAGGAACCTACAGCCAAAACAAGAACACTCGATGTTCACTGCATGCCTCTCTACAGAGAAAGTAGAAGTAACCCAGCGACGCTTTGCCATGTATCTATAGGGGCCTGTTGAGGGGCACCTCCGTTCTGCTGCTTCTGTAATGCTGTAATTGCTAGAACTCAGAGTTAGTCAGGATCACTAATGTACCTGCTGGTGCAAACACTTCTCTAATAAAACTTTGCTTCTGCCTGATGCAATCAAGAAACCCGTGTCTGGGAACTGGGTTCCTTTAGAAAACCAGGGGCTGGCCCAGGGGCAAACCACAGCACCAGACCTGCCACGCAGGCTCGCCGTGGCCCAGCGGGAAAAGCCCCTGCACAAGGCTCACCTAAACCGGTCGGGATCGTGCTCCACTGGGAGCAAAGCTGCTTTGCCAGTGGGAGCTAGAGAACGGCCTCGCTGACCTTGCGGGTCTTGTCCACCTCCGCCCTGTCCAAGCGTGGAGCACACGCTGCCCATTCTTGCCTGACATCCTCCATGACCCGCATGAACAGCCAATTTGGGCACATCCCCATGTGCTTCCCACAGAGCGCTGTGCTAAAATTCACTGTAGAACAGCAAAGGAGGAAGTAAGTGGAGCTGGAACTCCTCAGTGAAAGGAGAAGAGAGAGATCAGTGCCAGAAACTGCCATGAGAAAGCAAGCTCAGTGGTGTTTATCCACACACTGTCAGCGGCTTAGCAGCCAGGCTGGTGCACATCTCCAGCTGCAATCCAGATGTGTCAGGCATTAACTGTGAGCTGTGTTGGCTGCTGGGGAGTGCGATATCAGTTCTACACGTCTTAACAGCCCTGCATTGCAGTCGGGGGGGAGGGAGGCGTCTTCTGACCTCACCTTTTATGCACTTCAGTAATGTAAGCGTGTCTGGGTGAGTCTGCCCCTGCAGAGCAAATCCCATCTCTTTGGAGTGGGACATCTGTCTGGGGAGAGGGACTGTGCCACGCAAGGGCCTTTATTCCGGGGTGACTGGAAGTGGAGCCCAGGGCTGACATGGCAACATGACATTTTTATCCTGAATCTCCTCTTGGGGCAGCCAAGGGTGGTTGGGCGTCTGTAGCTGTGCAGAGACACCCACAGGCTGGAAAAAGCAGGTGGCCTGAAAGCCCTTTTTAGAGCCTATTGAACGTGGCACAAACATTTCTCACACCTAAACACGCAAAATATTTTGGAGTCCTTTGCTGAGAAATTAAAAATGTTTGCAGTGCCAAAGCGGTGCATTTCCCCAAACCCCACTCCTAAATGTAGCACACACCTGGG